GTCGATCGCCCGACTCGTCGCCGGAAAACAAACGCGTTTATTTTTTAGATGATGAGTCGGGCGATCGGTTGGTGCCACGATAGCCGCTTGGAGCCCTCAATTTGGCTAGCAAAACCGACCCGACCCGACCCGATCGTGCCACTGTCAAAGGGCACCTGGTATAACGGACTTGACCGGACTGCTAGCGACACCGAGGTCATGTATTAAAGGTCCTGGATCGGCGGCTACATTCTCCAATAGTGAACTCCCCGCCACACACAGATGCACGATGCACACAAGACGCACATTCACACTAACACCGGGTGGAAGTAGGCCATTAATGATGCGCGCGTTATGCACAGAATTCTACACTTATTATGTTATTCTATTAATAGAATTCTGGTTACACAATGTCATCTCAGGCTGGTCGGACGCCGCCATGTTGCCTCGTCAAGGTCAGTGACCGCATCACCAGAGATCCAACACACCCACCTCATCACCAGTGACCCAACACACCCACCTCATTACCACTGACACGACACACCCACCCCAGACAGGTGCAGGATTCACTGACGTAAGACTCTGGGGGAGTTGCGCGCAGCCAGACACTATAATTTGTGGGGGTGGGGGGGGTGGGGTGGAGGGGATGGCTCGGGGTGATTATCTGTCACGTTTCTTCTCCTAAACTCCTACCTTTTGAAAACAAAATGCTGAATTTTCCAGCTATGAGAAACAGCATATTATATACCACAAGAAGTTCTTTCCTTGTCACTGTGAGTGACTGGCAGGTGCATAGTGTGGTTTGCTCTCTCTTCCTCCCTCCTATACAACATTTATCGTCCTTAAACTTTTATAGAGATCTCTCCTCTTTCTTTTCACCTGTAACCCCTACTCTAATCTCCGTCACTTATGTGACCTATTACCAGTGCCGTAAAACTCTTAACTTTTTTTTTTCACAACCTTTCCTTCTCACAATAACCTTACTTGCAACGACATATGTGGGAAAAAAAGACAAACCAGTGCAGCCTCCTAAAAATAGACAAAAATATCAACTTTCCTTCACTGATTACCACCACCAACCACCCACTTCCGGAGTCAAAAACTTTGGCGTAGAACCCCCGAGAGCACGCCACAACTACTATACTATGTACCACAGCCCCATGGGAGGACACAGACGGACTGCGGAGGTTTTGCCACAACTACCTTGTACCACAGCCCCATGGGAGGAAACTGACAGACTGCCAAAGTTTTTTGCCCCTTAAGACTATTGACACCTTCAGATCATTTAAGAGATGCCCCCCCCCCCCCCCCCCCCCCCCAAAAAAAGACTGGCTTTTTATTATTTTTTCTTTTTTTTTGGTCACTATCATTCACTATGACAGAAATACCCAACTAACATCCCACACGGGAAGCAAACTCACGACTTCGGCAGGCAACAGCAAACAGCTCGACTATTGCAACACATATATATACAAATACTGATTCTAAAGATCTTACAACATCTGTTACAGAATATTTCATTCCATCCTTTTTCTTTTTTCACCTCTTATTCTTTTCTTTCTTACTTTCTGCCCCTGTTCTCTAAACAAAAATCCTCCATCAAGAGAAACACTGGCATCAAAGTTCAACATGTATATATCTATATTGGACGTCTCTATCTATCTATATATATATATATATAATATAATAGTCATTCATTCAAGCATCAGCTGCATCTACGCTATGGCTATTTAGCTAGCTTTACTGCGTCTATGCTATGGCTATTCAGCTTTACTGTGTCTATGCTATGGTTATTTAGGTTTACTGTGTCTATGCTATGGCTATTTAGCTTTACTGCGTCTATGCTATGGCTATTTAGCTTTACTGCGTCTATGCTATGGTTATTTAGCTTTACTGTGTCTATGCTACGGCTATTCAGCTTTACTGCGTCTATGCTACGGCTATTTAGCTTTACTGCGTCTATGCTATGGCTATTTAGCTTTACTGCGTCTATGCTATGGTTATTTAGCTTTACTGTGTCTATGCTACGGCTATTCAGCTTTACTGCGTCTATGCTACGGCTATTTAGCTTTACTGTGTCTATGCTATGGTTATTTAGCTTTACTGTGTCTATGCTATGGCTATTCAGCTTTACTGTGTCTATGCTATGGTTATATTAGCTTTACTGTGTCTATGCTACGGCTATTTAGCTTTACTGTGTCTATGCTATGGCTATATTTAGCTTTACTGTGTCTATGCTATGGTTATTTAGCTTTACTGTGTCTATGCTATGGCTATTCAGCTTTACTGTGTCTATGCTATGGTTATATTAGCTTTACTGTGTCTATGCTACGGCTATTTAGCTTTACTGTGTCTATGCTATGGCTATATTTAGCTTTACTGTGTCTATGCTATGGTTATTTAGCTTTACTGTGTCAATGTTATGGTTATTTAGCTTTACTGTGTCTATGCTACGGCTATTTAGCTTTACTGCGTCTATGCTATGGTTATCTTTACTGCGTCTATGCTACGGCTATTCAGCTTTACTGCGTCTATGCTATGGCAATTTAGCTTTACTGTGTCTATGCTACGGCTATTCAGCTTTACTGCGTCTATGCTATGGTTATTCAGCTTTACTGTGTCTATGCTACGGCTATTTAGCTTTACTGTGTCTATGCTATGGTTATTTAGCTTTACTGTGTCTATGCTATGGCTATTTAGCTTTACTGTGTCCATGCTACGGCTATTTAGCTTTACTGTGTCTATGCTACGCCTATTTAGCTTTACTGTGTCTATGCTACGGCTATTTAGCTTTACTGTGTCTATGCTACGGCTATCTTTACTGTGTCTATGCTATGGCTATCTTTACTGTGTCTATGCTACGGCTATTCAGCTTCCGCTGTCCACAAGTAAATGACCAGGCACAAATGGAGGGGGAAAAAATGAAAAACAAAAACAAAAAATGCATATATAATTATAAATACATGAACTGTTTAACCGCGTTGTTTGATGTACTTTCTCCTACTACACAGAATGCCGTTTGGCGCACATCCAGAGATTAATAGTGTCATTTGGCAAATGTCCAAATCACAATTCCTGCTGACATTTATTTAATGTACGGTAGATGTTTCCACATTGCTTCAATGACCGGAACAACCAAACAACCGTTCTCCTCCCCCCTCCCCTCACCTATTTCAACACTACCATCACCCATCTCGCATAATTACATAACAAGTCAAAAACTCAGTCAGTAACAGTGCAATATCCCCACCATCCTACAATTGTTCTCTTAAATCTAGAATTTTTTCCCCAACAAAAAAAGGTGTTGTTGGTTTTTGTTTTGCTATTAAAATTGTTCTTATGTTCATGAGACTGAATACTTATTCATGTTCTTGTCGACTAATTACAATTAGAAGCAATATATAGGTCACATTTTGACAGCTAACAGACTCTTCTATTAAAAATATGATTTCGCAACATGCCAAAAAAAACCCGTAGAAGTATCATTACCACATCAGGCAGCCCACCAACCACCCACTAGAATGCCCGACAGTAACGACAGATTCTTTTTATATCCCCATACAGTGAACTTTATCCCTTGCTGAGGTACATGATGCGTATATGTATGAGAGTCAAAGAAAGAGCACTTTGACACGATCAACTTCACACTTCCTACACAAAGCTGAAAGAGCAAGATAGACGGACACAAACAACAATACAATGGGACAGTAAAGAAGTAGGATCTTCCAGTTGCTTTCACTTTCTTCACATTATCGCCGCAAGTGATTCGAACTTCACTAAAAAAAAAGTACAAGACAAGCACACAGACAAAACAATAGAAGGAAATTAAAGCAGGAAGAAAGACAAAGTCACAAAATGGAAAATAAGAAAGAAAAAAGGATAATGAATAAATAAAGAGGACCTGGCAGGGGAAAACTGCAAACACAAGTTGTTGTTTTTTTCGGATAACCCAACCAAACCTTTTCCCATAATTTCTCGGAGTGGCAACACTTTCCACAAGAATTCGCACGCAATCAAGAAATACAGCATTCAAATTTGTGTAAACTAAACAGACATATATCCAGGAAAACAAAGCCAAGGACCAGATCTCAAACAGTTACACAACTGAACAAAAATTTGTTTCAGTGTTTTACAACACTTACAACACAATAAGGTCTCATAAATGCCAAAGATTAGGGGTGTTACAAAAGAGTAACAAGGTAAACACAAAAAAGGAGGAGGAGAGATAAGGACGATAGAGATTTGATGACTTGAAAGAAAGAGAAAACCACAAAAGAGCACCTGCCAACCACCCACGAATGAAACATGATCCAAACTGATAAGAAGTAGCAAGTCCTTTTCTGGGGCGTGCGTCACCACCATGACAGACAGGTGGCACTAGAGTAAACCATGACGGGCAGAGAGCGGAGAGGAAATTTTGTCATGTTGCTCGTTCCCAACAATAAAAATAAAAATATTCCTTAGCAGAGGTGCTAGAACAAAACAAAAACAGCAAACTTTGGTCTTACCTAGACGGAGCTACTCCGACAAGAGTGGGTCCAAGTCCTTTGAACAGACCTCTAATCCCTTCTGTCTTGATTATGTGCCTGTTGGAAACAAGGAGTAGACGACAAAATTAAGGCTATCCCACTGATAATAAAAACAAAAGGCATGCATCTGTCTGTATTAGTAGCGTAAATTCCAGCTCAACAGCAAGCAAGCTCTTTTCACTTTACAACCTCTACACATATTATTACCCCAGCAGACCTGAAAGATTATGCAGTTGCGAGCGCCGTAAAACCCTCTACTATAGACCTGAAAGCAATCTGAAACAATCTCAACTTCCTGGGAGGGATCTTTTAGTGCAAGAAGCCATATTACACCATGTGCTTTTAAAACATGTGTATGAAAAAAACTGATCTTTCGCTGTCTATTATATATCTATGATTCTATGGCAATGTACAAAAAACAACGGCCACCAAGTAATCTCTTTTAGAGGTGCACATGGTCCAGGGTGCTAGTCCAGTAGACTTTGACAGCCTACCTGAATGACCATCTCATCTACTCGACCATCGCTTTTATTAAAACTTCAGTTCTACACTTGTAACAGTGCTCAATTTAAATGACTCGGATTGCAAGAAAGAGGGAGTAATGAGAGACAACACCAACTTTCAGTTTTAGTATTAGAAAGAGTATGGAATTGCAACATAAAAGGTCATTTGCCTTTTACATAATGGATGAAAAAAGGCTTTGGATCAAAAAAATAAAGTCAAATGAGCTGTGTATAGTATATATTGTAATTTTGTTAAACCACATACATCCGATGTAATAATATCTGCTTTAGTTAGTAAATTAAAAGTTTTACGGGACTTGTAACACAAATTAAAGGTAATTCCAAAGATCAGAGGTGTTACAAGAGCGTAACAAACACACACAAAAAAGAGAAATAAGGATAATAAATCATGTTTTTGATAGGAAGGAAAGAACAAGGACCTGAGCAAACGACACCAGAGCACCCGCCAACCAACCATTTCTAACACAGTAGTCTCCGCCTAAGATCCCACCGCTTTTATCTTATGGTCCCGGTTCGCCTAAACTCCGCTGTTTGGGAAAAACAGAATTTTTGCTTTAAAAAAAAAGTCACCCCTAAGATCCCGTACTGAAGGAACTACATTCGGCTAAGATCCCGCTTTTCAGGCCATAATTTAGTTATTTTTTTCTTTATTTAAGAAAAATAAAAGAATGAGAAACCTGGGAGCGCTCATTTGATCAACCAAGTAGCGAAAATGTATGTGCGATCATTGTACGGTCCGTCGCGTCACAGATCATCCATTCTCATGAACGCGATCCCACCTCTGTTGTAAATCTCGATAAAAGCGGTTACCATGTTTACCCCAGACAGCACCAAGGTGTGAACTCGACAATGCATTTGCTTTTCCCCGATCACCTAACCCGTCCGCCTGATCTTACATCACACACTAGGTGGGGAGGGCCTACAAGCAAGCATCAGACTGCACTCTATCAAACTGTGAACCCGTGGATGCTTACATTTTCCTGACCATCGCTCTCGTTTTTCAGTCTTGCACTTTAACTTCCTTGACAGATTGGCGCCCATACTCATGGACTGTCTGATCGCCTCTACGTAATGGGGTCTTAAAGAAATTGGTCAGTGTGGTCACAACACAACGATTTAAGATGCATCATGACATGGGTGGGGAACTCTGTTACAGATGGAAAGCAATCCATTTTTGGTGGGGGCATTGCTTGAAGCCAACTGGTTCCCACTTGACACAGTATTTTTTTAAAAGCCCCACCCCCTGCCCCAAAACATAAAAAAAGGAAAAACTGACTTCTGAAAAGCACTTTTAGTGGCCAGGAGCCACGTCGGTTCATTTTAAAATAAGGGAAGATCATTGTACAGATTATGGACCTGACCATGAGATACTGTGGATTCTTCCCCTGGTCATTATTCGGCTAAGATCCCGGTTTACCCAAGATCCCGCATTTTTCTTGCTCTCGAGCACCAGGATCTTAAGTGGAGACTACTGTAATAATGTCATCTGATTGGGATGCAATCCTAAATAACAGCAGAAATTTACCTCAGACAGGCAACTAATCCTTGACAGGGTCTTGACTGCTGTTTAGGTACATCCAAAACGGAATTTTGATTCACAATGACATCACAGTTACTTGCTCCGAGGGTTACGACTTGTTGAGACGGCAACAGCCGTAGCGCAGCGTGTACGTTGACTTGGACAAATGAGGTCACCGAAGACTGCAGCCTTGTTTTCACCACTTCCAGGGGGCATGTTATCACAGCCCCGGTGGTTCC